CTTGTAAGATTAGGAATATTTGAATACAAATATCATATATTTTGCACAAAAGATAACATATTTAATCAAGAGTAAACATTATATCTAAAATTTGTATGTCTAATGCAAAATCTATGATGTTTATATTCAAATGATCATCAAATTGTAAGAATTCCAGCAATGTAAATTATTATTCTGGGTGGATAATTGTATGAATTTTATGAGCTAAATTAAAAAAATTATACTTCACCGTGTAAGGGGTACACCCACCATGAATGTGAGCATCCTGGGTTCTGGAGGAACGCGTGATGTGGACCGCTGTAGTGAGGTGACTTTTTTTTTTTTTTTTTTATATATATATATATATATATATATATATATATATATATATATATATATATATATATATATATATATATATATATATATATATATATATATAATCAACACTTCAACCCGAGATTCAACTCACGCCCACGTAACCATAAAAAGTTGGATGTAGAAGTCCTGCGTTTTATTGGCTAATAAATATACAAATATACATACAGTCGGCCCTTTCACATACGCTGGTTTAGAAGACCACGAATTCAAGAACACGCTGATTGCCACTGGAGAATATTCTGTACTATTGGAGTAATTGGAGCACATTCAAATCGCTGGGCTATTGAGTTCAACTCTGCTGCACCGGGCCACTGGATACCGGCTTCTGGCCTCAAGAACCTCACACACACACACACACACGCATAGCTCTCCCTCACTCAGTCAGTCTCGCTGTAACCACGCTTGTGTTGACATCAGCATTATACCTGTAGTTGCAAAAATATTACATTTCCGTGAATGTATTATATCAAGCACAGTATGAATAGAATATCACTAATATAAGAGTATTTTAACCGAAAACTACGAAAAAAACGAGTAACATATCTTGAACATCGGAGGGCTAGGTAAAGTCTTTTGTTTTCATGTAGTTTATCCTAATTTACATTGAAATGCATTACATTTCAGCAAAACTACTATTTATTTCTGAGAATATGGAAATGTAATATTTTGCTGAAATGACGTACGTATTACAGTGGAAAGTGACGAAAGCAATGACTCGCTTTCTTTCGTTCAAAAGATGTTACCGTAATCGCTTTTCGAATGGTTTTCAGTTAAAAAACTGTTGTATTTCAAAAATATTCTATCCTAATTCACTTGTGATGCAACAGTTTTTTTAATTGAAAACCATTTGAAAAGCGATTATGGTAACATCTTTTGAACGAAAGAAAGCGAAAGTCATTGTTTTCGTCACGATTTTATCCCACTTTCCACTGTAATACGTACGTCATTTCAGCAAAAATATTACATTTCCGTGAATGTAGTATATCAAGCACAGTATGAATAGAATATCATTGTAATATAACAATATTTTAACCGAAAACTATTAAAAAAACGAGTAACATCTCTTGAACATTGGAAGGTTAGGTAAAGTCTTTTGTTTTCGTCATGTATTTTATCCTATTTTACATTGAAATACATCACGTTTCAGCAAAACTACTATTTATTTCTGAGAATATATTCATTCAGGCACAGTTTAGGTAAAATATACATGTGCTGTAACATTTTTTTTTAATTGAAAACGATTCGAAAAACACGTACCCTCTAGCCCTGTTCAAGGAGAAGACTGGGAGGAGCTGTTTGGTGCTTAAGACGATGACAAGGAAAATGATTTTGATGGATTTTAATGAAAATATTCAGAAAGACCCTGGCACTGTCAAGGAAAGTGGCTGCTGAAGGCTTCCGGGACATGGCAGAGGACGAGATTAGGGAGCTAATTGAAGAGCACGACACTGAGCTGACCGAGGAAGATCTACAGGAGTTAGTAGACTCAGGCAAGGAAGAGGAAGAGGAAGCGAAAGGGAAAGAGGATGAGGACTAAGAAATAACGTTGGAGAAGTTGGGGGAGATGACCAGGAATATTGAGGCACTGAAAAACCTGGCCTATAGTATGGACCCCTCCATGGTGCGTGCCCTGAAATTCATGCGAGGGATGGATGACGTTTTCGCTCCATACAAAAACATCATGGAAGAAATGAATGAAAGAGACGACAACTCCCCATCACCATGTTCTTTGATCACCGAAGGAGAGATTTAATACCAATCACTGGCGGCGGTGAGGAAGCAGCTGAATCCACCGTCGCCCCCACTTCACCACATGTTATGGAATTGAATGCCCGATGACCCCCGTCCTGTCGCCGAGGATAGGAACTGTACAGTAAAGTGAAGTTTTTATCTCTTTTTTTTTTAATAGCTTTTCTTGCCATGTTTATTGTTTGTAAAAATGTACAGCACAGTACAGTTCAGTACTGTACATAGGAAGTGGAGGTGCAGTTATTCACAAAACATTTGTGTTTGTTGTTGGCAGTAATGACAGGGAGGAGGCAGAGGGGGTGGAGGAGGCAGAGGGGGTGGAGGAGACAGAGGAGGTGGAGGAGGTAGAGGAGGGAGCGGAGGGAGCGAGTTGGGAGGAGTGGTGACCTTGGACGCGGGAGCAGGTACGAGTGGAGATGCCAGCCAGTACATTACGGGTGTATTAATTGTTTTTATAGCTATTTTTGCATTTTAATATTAAATACTGTACATTACGTTTCAACAAAACTACCATTTATTTCTGAGAACATGGAAATGTAATATTTTTGCTGAAATGATGTACGTATTACAGTAGAAAGTGACGAAAGCAATGACTCGCTTTCTTTCGTTCAAAAAATGTTACCGTAATCGCTTTTCGAATGGTTTTCAGTTGTGGGATTATAAGGCTAATGATAGGATAGAATATTATTGTAATACAGTACGAGTACAACAGTTTTTTAACTGAAAACCATTCGAAAAGCGATTACGGTAAAATCTTTTGAATAACGAAAGAAAGCGAAAGTAATTGTTTTCGTCATGATTTTATCCCACTTTCCACTGTAATATGTACGTCATTCCAGCAAAAATATTATATTTCCATATTTATTTCTGAGAATACGTATATTCATTCAGTCACAGTTAAGGTAAAATATACTTGTAATGTAATATTTTAATGAAAATACGGTATCGTAGTTTTCTTTTGTTTCAAATTTAATTAACAAAGATTGATGTTTCAAATGTAATGAAAAAAAATTTATGTACAGTATCTATAAATAAACTTTAAAAAATTAATACTTTATGTTTTACATCGTCCTGTGCATACCATACCATGCATTTGGTTACTTTGGGCTTGCTATGATGACGCAAGAGATCTGCCCTGGCAACTGTACCGACACTCACAGCTGGTGGTGCGTTGGTACGTCGTTTCCATTGTTTACTGGTAGTTACTGGTAAATATTTTTCAACCTAACGAAACTATTACCCGTTTAGAGGTCGACCTCCAATTTTTTGCCAAATAATTTGGTCTTAAAAACTCGAACTACACACAGGTATACACGGTAAATAAGGACATGGGGGGGCCAGGGTTTTTTTAGGGGGGCAGCAAAAGTACACGGATTTTTAACATTCACGGGTGTCTCTGATACCTAACCCCCGCTTATGTTAAGGGCAGACTGTAACTCACTTTGTTTTTATGTTATACAGTACATAAAAAAAAATTGTACATCAATCTGATATATATATATATATATATATATATATATATATATATATATATATATATATATATATATATATATATATATATATATATATATATATATATATATATATATATATATATATATACAGTAGTACCCCGATTTACGCGGTCAATTGAACCCATGGGGTACCGCGGAAAGTGAAAACCGCGTAAAGTGAACAACAGAACATATTCGGATTAATTCCAATAGAGACTGGCCCAACCCCCAAACTCCAATTTTTCCAACATAATACCTATGTTGCAGTAAAAATAACATCTTAATTTTATGATGGTATGCTCACACAATTAATATTTAAGAGAAATACAGTCACCAGGTTAATGTCCATTCAAATATGGGACTCAAATCCCTCCCCCGTCCCCCCTCTTCCCAGCTCACTAGCTCCTACCTCTCTGAGAAATGTTTGGGTGAAAACACTAGATTTTAACGTTTAGTAATAAATAATACCTCAGACTAAAGTTAGGATAATATAATTGACATTTCTGGATTTCTTGCAGGTCAGGGAATATTTTGAATGTAAACTTCATATATTTTGCACAAACGATAAAATATTTGCTTTGTGTAAACCAAATTATTACATTAGATCTAAAATTTGTATGTCTAATGCAAAATCCATGATGTTTATATTCAAAATGATCATCATATTGTAAGAATTCCAGCAATGTAAATTATATTCTGGTAGAGTAATTTGTATGAATTTTATGAGCTAAAACATATATCTTCAGTTAATAAAAAAAAATTATTCTTCACGACATATATATATATATATACAGTAATACCCTGTTTAACGCGGTTTCGCTTAGCGCGTTTTACCGTATACGCGGTGTCTCGCCAGAGCCGAACTTTCACTTAACGCGGGTTTTTTCCAAGTATACGCGGCGAGTGTCCGGCTCGAGACGCTATTTTTAGATTCGCCCCACCCGCCTGCTCCCGCCTCCTCCCTCCTCCCTCCGCTTGGGCAAGCCGCGCTGTAAGGTTGCGCAGTGCATGTCTCTGTTGCGTTATCACTGACGTCATATGCCGTATCGGACTGTGATTGGCCATGCATCCCTACCCCC